TCAAAATGGGTACATAATTTAGACATAAAGGATGACACCATAAGCAAATTAGGAAAGCAAGGAATAGTTTACCTGACAGATCCATGGAGAACAGAAGAATTTGTGACTAAACAGGAGATAGAGAACGTTCTGAAATGCAAAATGGATAATTTTGATTACATTAAATTAGAAAGTTTTTGCATAAACAAAGACAATGTAACCAATTTTAGAAGGAAATCAGAAAGCTAGGAAACAATTTTTACAGTCAGTGTCTCTGATACAAAGTTCTCGTTTCTAAAATATATAGAGAACTGGGTCAAATTTATAAGAACACAAGTCATTCCCCAGTTGATAAATGGTCAAAGGATATGAACAAGCAGTTTTCAGATGAAGAAATTAAAGCTGTCATATAAAAAATGTTCTAAAGCACTATTGATTAGAAAAATGTAAATTAAAACAACTCTGAGGTATCATTTCACACCTATCAGATTGGCTAATATGACAGAACAGGAAAATGATAAATGTTGGAGAAGATGTGAGAAAATTGGAATGTTAATGCATTGTTGGTGTAGTTGTGAACTGATCCAACCGTTCTGGAGAGCAATTTGAAACTGTACCCAAAGGGCTATAAAACTGTGCATATCCTTTGATCCAGCAATACCACTACTAGTTTTGTATCCAAAAGAGATCATAAAAAAGGGAAAAGGACCCATATGTACAAAAATATTTATCTTTTTGTGGTGGTCAAGAATTGGAAATTGAGAGGATGCCCATAAATTGGGGAATAGCTGAACAAGTTGTGGTATATGGATGTAATGGAATACTGTTGTGCTATAAGAAATGATGAGCAGGCAGATTTCAGAAAAACCTGGAAAGACTTACATGAACTGATGCTGAGTGAAGTGAGCAGAGCCAGGAGAACATTGTATACGAAACAGCAACATTGTGTGAAGAATATCTTGGATAGACTAAGCTCTTCTCAGCAATACAATAATCTAAAACCATTCCAAAAGACTCATGAGGGAAAATGCTATCCACATCCAGAGAAATAACTATGGAGTCTGAATGCAGATCGAAGCAGACTATTTTCTTTCTTTTTTTTTTTCTTTCTCGTGGTTTTTCCCTTTTGTTCTGAGTCTCCTTTCACAACATGACCAATGTGGAAATATGTTTAATATGATTGTATATGTATAGCCAATATTAGATTGCATGTCGACTTGGGGAGGAGAGAAGGGAGAGAAGAGAGGGAGAAAATAGTTGGAACCCAAAATCTTATAAAAGTGAACGTGGAAAGCTATCTTTACATGTAATTGGAAAAGTAAAATATTAAGTGGGGGGAAAAATGGAGTGGGCTGCCTTAAGGTAGCATTAAGGTTGAGGTAGCATTCCTTGCTCCCTGTTACCTAAGACCTTTTTTGATCCCTCTACCTATTACTGCCCTTTATCTCCTCAAATTATATTTTATTTACTTATCTATGTACATGTTATACATAGCCCTTTAGTGTAAGGTAATCTCTTTGAGAAAAGAATTATTTCATTTTTATCTTTGCATCTAACAGTACCTTGAACATGAGGGAAACTTCATAAGTATTTTTTGCTTTGTTTTAAAATTGCATTAATGCTTTTTTTTTTTTATAACAATCATTTCCTGTTGTTTGCAGTCACATAGGGCTGTGGTGGATGTTAGCTTCGTTGCTTGTTTCTCTCAGTCAGGTTACTCAGGGAAGCTGGTTTTCATTCACTTATTGAACCTGCCCCATGCATTAGCCTAATCACTCTGTATTTTGACATTATTCTAGGAGTAGATATATGTCCATCAGTCATATCACTTCTACTTCCCTCCTTTCTTTTCTTTAATAGCTTCAACCAGTCAGTCAGCAAATGTTTATTAACCAGTTACCATGTGCTGGGCCCTGAGTTAATCCCTGAGGTTACAAAGAAAAGCCCTGTCCTCAAGGAGCTCACTTTCAGTTGATGGAGAAAATGCAAATACCTGTGTACATATTGTATGCAGTTTAAATAGAAGACAATCTTAAGGGAAGGTCAAGTTGGGGGTGGGAGGGGGTGGGGCCCAAAGAAAGAGATCCTATATGCCAGATCCAGTATTTTTATAAGTAGCTTAATTGGACTAGACAAAAGATAATAAAAATAGAAGCATCACTTATATGTACAATAACATCAATATAAAAATATATAATTTTGAAGACACAAATTACCATGATTCCAATGAAGTCTGAAATTTACTTATTGATAACTGATGAATTCATGGTATAAGACATTTTTTTTAACATAGGGATTTTTTTTTTCTTTGCTTTACTATCCATATTTGTTACAACAAATTTGGTTTTCCTTTTGATAGTATAGTTGGTGGGAGGGAGAGAAAATAGATTTTTTTTTCATTAAAAAAATTAATTTAAAAAAATCTGAGCTCCAAAGCCTGTAATCTGAGCCTCTGGGGACTTTGGGACTGTTGGACCTCTTGAGTTTGGGAGGGCTGAGCTGAAAGGAGCTAAGCTGATTATTGGGTGTCTGCACTAAGTCTGGCATCAATACTCGTGGCCCCCCGGTTACCTAAGGAGAGGTGAATCAGCCCTGGTTGGCATTGGAGCAGGTCAAAACTCCTGTGCAGATCATGAGTGGGATTGACATGTGAGTATTACTAACACTTCAGCGTAGGTGAGAGAGACTCATTTCTTTAAATTAAAAAATAAAACACACACACAAAAAAACTTGTTGAGATCAAGCTCTCCTTCCTCTCGGGACCCTTTTCCAGCCGCTGCCCCTGCCAGTTCTCTTTCCTCAAAGGCTGCTTTCCATCCACCCAGTATTTTGCTTTTGTGTATTAATTTATGTATCATGTGTCTGTGTGTTGTCTCACTTCATTAGGCTTGTTTTTGCTTTTTTTATGTATCTAGTGTTTAGCATAGTGCTTGGCACATATGCATGTTGATGGTTGTGTTTTTTTTTTTAAAGTATTACGGGACATAAACTGATCCTTTCTCATATCCATCCCCTACTAAAGACAAAAGCTATTTCTAGGCTGCAGTTCATCTCTGTCCCTTTCCCCGCCAGTTCATTGATCTCTTCTCTCTTCCCCTCCCCCTTATCTCTTCCTCTTTCTTTCCTCTCAGCCTAGGAATGAGGATTAACCCAGAAGTTCAGTGTCCTATTTTTAGGTTTCCAGTCCCCCCATGAAAGCTAAGAGAACTCATGTAGTTAACTGACTATCCTGTAGTTAGAACTCAGGGTGAGAAGCCTGTAACGATTCTGATGGTAGCAGCTGTGCAAACTGAACGACAGAATGGAGGCTTTCAGGTCCCTCCACAGGATCTGGAACTTGAGAAGACTTTGGTCTGCCCTACCAACAAAGCAGTGCAAATGGGGTACAGATACAGTGCTCCAGAGGCTAATGCTAATGTGGCGGCAGCAGCAGAGGGCCAGTCATGGCCTTGGATGTTTGGCCTTTGGGTCCCTTCAAGTCCCTCTCTTGCCTTCACAGATCTTACCCCTTTTGTCTACTAGCATTCACATAAGCCTGGGGGCTAAATGCCATATCAGATCATCAGTGTGCTGATGGGAGGAGTAGAATGTCCCTTACTGCTTAACAGCTAAAATAGTTAAGCAAAATCAACCAACTTAGCAATGGTGTCTTAATAGCATTTCACATCTGTAGTTCCCTTACCTCTCTACCAGGGAGGGAAGTGTGTTTATCTCTTTTCTGTGACCAAGATTAGTCATTACAACTAGTAAGAGTTTGGCTGCCTTTTAGGGCTGCCTTTGTTCTCTTGGTGAATATTGAATAAAATTAAATTAGTGAGTTTCCCGCATCTTAGATGTATTCAAGCAGAAGTTGGTCTTGTTAATGGTGTTGTATAAAGAAGATTCCTGCTCTAGTTAGGGGTTAGACTGGGGTGATCTCTGAGGTTCTTAGTGTAAGATTCTATTATTCCATAAAACTTTAATGAGTTACAGATTGTAGAATTTGTTCAAAGTCATTATAATAATGTATAATGGACGTAAGATTTAAACATAGCTCTTCTCTGAAGAGCTTGAAGGATTTGGTTCATATGCTCAATAAGACATTTTAGCATCATGCAAATATTATTATATCTGAATCTTATTCTTTATCCTACTGACAGTGTACCACAGTATTTTGGGTTATAATAATTATAGATATTTGGAAGCTTTTTAAACTTGAATAGAGAATTTTCTCTTAAAGGTTAAGAAGGCTCATTTACTTATATTTCAATTTCTGTAGTGCTTTCCAAGAAATTGAAGGCTTATGTAAGTTGATGGAATTTCATAATACTTGCAAGAAAGGGAGAGTAAAAAGAAAGGTAGAAAATGAAGAAAACTGAGATTAAAAGAGGATAGAAGAGAGGTACTGCCATTTAAGTGAAGTTAAAACACCAAAAAATTATACTGTCAATTCTAGCATGGTGAGAAGAGATAAGACAATTACTTTTCTCTCTTCCTTTGTCTGGGCCAAAGGTGATAAAAAACAAAAAACACTGGTAGCGCTTGTTAACGTTAGCCCTTGCTGCCACCTGGTGGAAATTCATACCCCGTTCTTCTATGTTTTGATTACAGTTTGCATGATTAATAAAATAAATTTGTGAATTGTTAGGATTTCTGAACCCACCTAAATGAAACTAAGGAATTGAAGTATTTCATCTGCTATGAAATCTTTGGACATTTTAGATTTCTGAATGAAGGAATTGTTTTTGAAAGGCTGGTTTAAAAGCTTCCTTACGTGAAAACATTGGGAAAAGTTGCCCCCTCCCTCAAAAGCTCTCCCACTAAAGTAATAATTCATTATTATTCCATTATTTTTATGTGATGGAGACATGGATGGAGGTGTCATGATAAGTTATGTTCCCTTTTTTTCTTATTTTCTTTTATATTATTCTTATTTCATATTGGCCTTAGATTTTTAAACCAAACATTTCTTTGATAGTTAACTAAATTGAATCCCAGGCCACACTTTCTTATTGTTAATATAATTACTCCATTTTCCTTAGCTTGAAGATGATATTGTCGTTAAGCAGAATTACTTCAGTACGATAAAGAATTTTGCACTTCAGGTCTCTTCTGAAGACTGGATGATTTTGGAGTTTTCTCAGCTTGGATTCATTGGTGAGAAAAATAAAAGTTTATTAATTTTTCAAACAATGTTCGTTTTCTCAGAATATTTAATTGTAATTTTACCTTAAAGCTCATCTTTTATTGAACATGGGAAAATAAATTTATTTTTCATATGAAAGGAAAATTGCATAGTTTGTAGAGTGTTAAAGACAGAGGAGTAATGGCATAATTAAATTAAAGAATCCTTTTACAATTGTGTTTCTATAACAAAATCTCAAATAAGAAGAACAATGTTGAAGAGTGCCATAAGATTATAAGATCGTAGACTCAGAGTGGGAACAGGTCTTAGAGGACATAAAATCCAGCCCTTTCATTTTACAGATGAGAAAACTGAGTCTCAGAGTTTAAGTAACTTCCCAGGTTTACACATTAAGTTTCTGAGTCAGGGTTTAGAGCCCAGGTCTTCCGGATTCCCAGTAATTGCTCTGTCCCCTATGACCATTTGTGGTGCTTGCAGCACACATTAAAAAATGTTTTTGGAACATTATTTCTTCAGGGGAATGAGTGGAAATCCCTGATTTATGATATTCTTGCACTAAGGCAATTAAGAAGACATGTTAAAAAACTGAAGTGTTGAGACACAAATTTAAATATGAAATTTAGACGACTATAATTTCCAGTTCTTAAAGCATTTTAAAGTAAGGGTCTCTTATTTCACCTTGGTATTCATTTAGTACTCAAATGCTTAAAAATTATAAAAGAAACCTGGAATAGTGTGAAGTTTCTAAAACATATCCCCTTTTATGGAGATAGAAACATGTGTCAGATCCAGCATGTGTTTTATAGTTATACAGTTCTAAATTTGATTTTCTACTTAAACCATTTATGTTCCTTCATTGTGGCAATAGAGTTCAGTTAAATAATCATTTATTAAACCCAAAACTTTGTGCTAGGTGCTAGGGAGACAGTGTGGTTTAGTAGATATGACATCAGATCTCACTTCAATCAGTCTTTGAGACACTGGGCTAGTAGTTAATTTCTCTGAGCCTTAGTTTCTTATCTGTAAATTAGGCATAATAATAGTATCTACCTCACAAGAGTTTTGTGAGAATCAAAAAAGGCAGCATATGTGAAAGGCTTAATAATAGTACATACCTCACAGAATTATTTTAAGGACCAAATGAAATAATGTATGTAAAGGATTTTGCAACCTTAAGATTCTATATAACAATTATTATGGAGTGGAGGAATAATTATATGTGGTGTATCTCTGTATGATCAGAAGAATGTTATCTGCTTTGCTGTGTTTTTTTTGCTCACTGTCAGTGCAGCAGGCTTTGCTATGTGGATACGGGGCTGAAATAAAGCTTAGTTCTTGAAATGTTTGCTTGCTTTTAGCAGAGGTCATTATTTAGTTCATGCAATTTCCTCTCATAAAACAAAGGAAAAATAATACAAATATAGAAATTGTAGGTTATAACTTTGTACTAGAAAAACATAGACTTAGCACTAGTTGTTTAAACCTAAATCAGAACAACTTCTTGTAATAATTGGAATTAGGGCTGTCTTCAAGTTTCAGGATCTCTTTAAAATAAGAAGACTTAAGCATTTCTTCTGCTTATAGAAATTCCCAATTTTGGTAGCAAATAACCTTTCCAAATGAGTTATTAAAGTATAATCCAAACACTCGAAAAGGTCAATGCTCATGAACCAGAATTAGTTCTTTGAAGGAGCCTTTTTTAAAAAAAGAACTTATACAGTCCTTTTACTTTTTATACAATCCTTTTTTAAAGGATTTCTTGGCTGGAGATAGGTGGGAGAAGCAGTCATCCAAATTGGCATTCAGATTGGGATGATGGTGTTGCATTTCTTCTAAGATGATTTTACCTTTTGTATAGGAAAAGTTTCATCTGTAGTTTATAGTATAGATGCTTCCTCCTTTTGGGGAGTTCCATGATGATGATTGGTGAGGAGCCAGGTGTTTTCGTCTTTCCACCTTGAGCTTTGAGTTCGCAGTTGGTTGAGGGGCATGAGAATATGGCATTGTAGTTTCCTCATTTACTCAACTGAGTAAATAGCTACTGAGTAGGGGAGGGTTATATGCGGAGGTATAACCCTAATGGGTTATACACAGATGCTATGGGACCACTAGGGCACATATTGGACACTTACTGAAAAAGTTATAATTGATAACCTTCTCAGCTGCTTTCAGGGGAGAAAACAAAAGGAAGTAATAAAACTACATAGGTAGTAATGTCAGAAGGATAGTTTTGGGTTACTCTCAAAAAGGACTGGAGGCTTCTAATGGAGGAATTTGCTAGTTTTCTCTTGTGATTCTACTTATGAAAGCTAATTCAGGTTCTGTAGGGGAGGGGAAATCAACTTCCCGAATACAAAATCCTTTACAAAGAGAAAGGCCTTTCATTATTACAGTAGAGACAGATATTAAACCTATGATAACATGGGTAAGGAGAACTCTAGATAGGGAAACATCTTCCACCAGTGCTGGTCAGTACCTTCTCTGCAGTAGCTATGCATAAATGTGTAGATGAATGTACATATACTTTTAGCAAGAACTCATTTACATTCCCCAGTGAGGAAGGCTAGCCCTGGAGTTACAAAATGCTAAAAGACAAACATCTTTATATGTAGAATAAGAATGGTAATAGAAACCACAAATCAGACCCTATGAAATGAATTCTGGCAGTTGAGTTTAAGGCTCAAGTTCTTAATTTAGGGTCTGTGAACTTGTTTTAAAAATTATTTTGATAACTATTTCAGTGTAATTGACTTCCTTTGTCAAATGAGATAATATTTGTAAAGCATTCAGCACAGTGCAGGACATGGAGGTGCTTAATAAATGCTTGTTTCCTTCCCCTTGTGATCCTATGTATTTTATTTTGTGCATTTAAAAACATTTTTCTGCAAAGAAGGCCTTAGGCTTTACTAGACAGCCAAAGGGACATGACACAAAGATTTAAGGGATCTTTTTTTAAGGGGTTCTACAACAAAGCTCTGTATTTCATTAACTTATTGTTTACTTGGAATATCTTTTTAGGTAAAATGTTTCAAGCGTCAGATATTACTTTGATTGTAGAGTTCATATTTATGTTTTACAAGGAGAAACCTATTGATTGGCTTTTAGACCATATACTTTGGGTGAAAGTCTGCAATCCTGAAAAAGATGCAGTAAGTTAATTTCTCATAAAATAACACTTGTTCTGTAATGTATTTTATTTAAGGATATTTTACTGGTTTAGAAATGTGATATGTGAAAACTTAGACTTATTAATAAAGACTGCATGGAGTCCCTGTTTAAATACATAGTATAGATTGGAATTGAAGTAGATTAAACTGCATTTGTGGGGGCAGCTAGGTGGCGCAGTGGATAGAGCATCAGCCTTGAAATCAGTAGGACCTGAGTTCAAATGTGGCCTCGGACCAAACACTTGACACTTACTAGCTGTGTGACCCTGGGCAAGTCACTTAATCCCTATTGCCTAAAAACAAAACAACAACAAAAAAAAACTGCACTTGCATATAGGGGCTTTTGAAAAGTTTTTTTTTTTAATTGTGTCATTTAGTAAAGATCCAGGAAATTTGCTTTACTTGCCAAAACCCTTTTCTGTACACTTCCCTCTAGGGGTCATAAGGTGTCAGTGTGTCCTTTTATTTCTTTCTTTTTCCCTTTCCCTTTCCAGCATCATTAGGTCCAAAGACAGGATGTACATGGTACAGCAGTTCCCAACTTTTTTTTGGTCCTTATACCCCTTGGTTTTCAATCAGCCATTTCATAGTTCCTGTTCAATATGGAAGGAAGGAAGTTCTATAGTTTACCATGTTTGTGCATGTAAGAAATAAAAAATCACTTAATTTCAATAGGATAATATAGTTATTTGCCAAATATTCCCTGTACTACTTTGACAGGTTTCTTATACCTCCTAGGGGTATACATACTACAGATGGAGAACCTCTAATAGAATGCAGTTTTCAATTAATTTTTTTAAAAAATGTAGACCGACACAACATTAGGGTTTGAAGGAACCTTAGTGTTCATCTAATCTAATCCCCCTCATTTTACAGATTAGAAAACTGACATCCAGAGAGATTAAGGTACCCAGGGTCACAACAGCAGTTAGAGAAGAAAGGACCAAAATTTGTGTTTTCTGATTCCCAGTCAGTACTCTTTACCCTGCACCATGCTCATGCCAACAATTATAGAGTCACTACTTTTTAAGTCCTAACTCTAAACTATATATTTGTTTGCTTTACAAGCAGTTTTTTCCATTATCCCAGTGAGAAAAACGTGTGCTATTTCTGCTTATTGAAGTCTCAGAGACAGGAGCACCCTGTGCTATTTATTTAATTGGTGATAGGAATACTACTGGTGATACATAAAGAAACTGAGATAGATTGGTCTAAGTAATTGTTCTACGTCTGTCTGGTATCTTTAAAGAAAAAAATGGTCTAATCGACTGTACCCTCTTGCCTCTCCTTTTTTTCATAATTCAGGTGTCTCTTCCTCTTGTCCAGAAATCAGGAGATATATTGGACATGAAATCCCATGAAAACATGATTTATGCAAAATGTACCCCCAAAGCACATATTTCTTTTTAATTATAAAGTTTTACAAGGAATACTTATTGAATAATTTATTTGAATAACTTATTGAATAACTTATTTGTAATTTCAGTAATTTAAAAATAATAGTCTAATACAAAAATCATCTGGGTTTAAGGGGTAGTGGTGGAGGTGGTAGTGTGTAGAATGAGGATGACAGAGGAAAAGGAGTGTACAAAATAATTGGTTGTTATCCTTAGCCAAGGGATGCTTTCTCTCTAGGAGGTCTGGAACCTGAGGTCTTAGTTCTATCTTATTTTTCCATTTGTGTCCCAAGTCCTATTTCTCCAGTCACCATCAAGTAAGAAGTATTAGGTTAATTATGTTGTATTTCCCTAGTGCAGGAGTTCTTAAACTAGGTTCTGTGAATTTAAAAATGTATATATGTTTTGAAAAGTATTTCAGTATGAGTTTCCTTTGAAATCCTGTGTATTTTGTTCTCTGCATTTAAAAAACTTATTAAAATAACATTTATTTCTATAAAGTATTTATAATAAAATATTTCTGGAAAAAAATATTAAAAATTCTGAGGAGAGCATAGGTTTTGTTAGCCTGTCAGTGTCCATCATACAAAAAAATTTAAGAACTCCTACCCTGATGGGATAAAACTATGCCTGCTAACACTATAAGAGCTTCTTGGTCAGTATTTTAGCATCTGTGGCTGTGGTTCAGCTTAGAACACTGTTACAACACTGATCTTATCTCTGCATTGGAAATTTGGGTCAGTGATACCTTCCACTTACCTATGGGAATGACAGCGACCATGAGCTTTGTAGTCCTCTTTATTGTATTGAAGCTCATTTATTAAGCTGTGGTGTGTCAGTGATTGGTATAATAACTCAAAGCTTGCTTTTTTTGGTTTTCACATTCTTCTTTGTTATTGTTTTGAAAATGGTATTTGTAATTGTTTTTGAAGTGAAACTTTACATAATTATAATACTTATAATTACAATGATATTAAGAACAAAATCTCATGTCTTTTGAAATGTGATAAAAATTAAAAGTAGCTTTCAACATACTCTTTTTGTTAAGTTAACATTTCTTTCAGAAAATTGGATATATTTACCAAGTAAGTAGCAAATCCAGGAATGCCTTGATATTCAGAAAAATGTTTAACATGAAATTATGGAAGTTATTGGATTTTATTTTAGATATTCTGAAAGGCTTTCCATTATTCAGGTGACTAAGAGTTCACACTATCACTGTCAAGTATACTAACATAAATTTTTTTCTTTTGAGAAACATTGTGATAGGCAAAAATCAAATCTACGAATTCGATTCAGGCCTTCCCTTTTCCAGCATGTTGGTTTGCACTCATCACTGGAAGGAAAAATTCAGAAACTCACAGTGAGTGGTTTAATTTCAATACTGTGTGTGTGATTTCATTATACTTAATGTATGCATGTGAGTTCATTCTTTTCCTCTTAGTATCTAATTGCATACTCTGTTTTTCTTTTAAAAATTTATTATTAGGATAAAGATTTTCTGAAGCCATTACTTCACACAATGCATGTAAACCCACCTGCAGAAGTATCTACTTCTCTGAAGGTCTACCAAGGACACACATTGGAAAAAACTTACATGGGAGAGGATTTCTTCTGGGCTGTTACCCCAATTGCTGGGGACTACATATTATTTAAATTTGATAAACCAGTTGATGTGGAAAGGTTAGTAATTATTGGTATCTGATCTTACACTCCAAATTTCTTGTTTTGTTATGGAATATATTCCAAATATATGTGAGATAAGAGACCCTAGGAATTTGAACCTATACATTAAATAAAAAATACACATAAAGTGCTAAAATGAATAGGCTTACTACTTCAGTTGGAAAGTCAGCTAAATAGGCTCCAGGGCTTACTTAGTACAGTGGCCTACAATTTTTCAAATTGTTGAAAGAGATGAATTCAATTCCATTTTACTTCATTTGGTACTAACATTAATTGACTTATATAAAACCAACCTTGAAAGTGCTCTGACCAGGTGTCAGATGTGAAATATTCATGTTGAGTAAGACTTGATAGTTTTACTGCCATCAACTTCTTTACTTCCCTTGTTAATACATGTTTGTACATATATTTTATTTTATTTTATTTTATTTGCTAGGCAATGGGAGTTAAGTGACTTGCTTAGGGTCACACAGCTAGTAAGTGTCTGAGGCCGGATTTGAACTTAGGTTTTCCTGACTCCAAGGCTGGAGCTCATTCACTATGCCACCTAGCTGCCCCATGTCTGTATATTTTTGGAGTTACTCCACAACTCCTGAAACTCCCCAAGCTTTACTCTTATGAAAGTTATTTAATGTAAAATCTGCAGGTTTGCTTTTATATTAATCAGTAAACATTTCCCTTTTCAATGACGGAATTATTAAAATGTTGCCCTAAGGTGTTACCTATGTATCTATGAAATAATTAAAATACATAATTTGCAGTTTATCACTTGCATATGATATTATTACTGACATACAGCTTAGTTCTTTCCTAAAATCTTTATTAGTTATCCTTTTGTAATCCCTTGTATATCCTAAAATACTGTCCTATGCAATATTATTTATTTTTTTAATAGCTACTTGTTCCAGAGTGGTAATCCAGAACATCCAGGAGATATACTGATAAATACAACTGTGGAAGTTTTGCCTTTTAAGGTATGACGATTTTTTTTTTCATTCAGTCTTCCTTAAGAACCAAAAACAATAGAAGAGATTTGATTCATAGGAGACTGTTAGCAGAAGATAAAACAAATTGTTTCTTTTGATTGAAAATCTCAGTGGTGGTCATTGTTGTTGACCTTGTAAAATAGAGTAGGTCTTTTTCCTCATTTATGAAAGATAAAGGGCCTAAGGTTTGCTCAAAAGAAAGGAGTCTGGAATTTCTCATAAAATTAGAGTGGGTCTTTCTTTTTGTTTTAATTTCCCTATTGCTGCTAGACTAGTTGCATGTAGTTTTAATGATTGTTACACATGATAAAGTGACCTGTGTCCTCACCCCTTCTCCCTCCTCCTTCTGCAGTCATCATAGCGGGTTCCATTTGGGAGACACTGTCAGCAGAAGCCTCCTTCACCTCAGGGACTTGGGTGGGCAAAGGGCAACCTATGTCTTGGCTTTCCCTTCTGTAGTTAACCAAGGGGGCTCCCACCTGAGACATTCATAGTAGAAGCATCTTTAGAACCCTGGACTTCTTGTCTTTTTTCCCACCTTTTCGTGCGAGATGATCTTTTTCTTAAACCCCTGGCACACTGGGCCGTTCTCCTGGTTCTCTCATTTGCCCCTTCCAGACCTTCACTCTTTGCCAGTCATTTATCACTCTCTCCTTTGAAGTTTGTGCCATCAAACTGTGTCAGTCACTTTTGTTATGATTGTGATTTGTGTCTTCATCATTCACATCTGTGGCCCTTCCAACACTTTGGCCACCACCTCTGCTCCTAGATTCCCATCTTAAATTTACTACCCATCAAAACTGTTCTACCTCCAGTACTTTGACCTTTGAGGTTCGCCTCTTAGATCACAATCTCCTGCCTTTCCACTTGTCCTTTTTTCTCATTCCTTTTAAACCAGTTCTTTGACCTTGCCATAATCTCTGGTTCTTCACTCTCTTCTTGTTTTTCCAGTCCGTAACACCTGTTTCGATCTTTTTCCTTCTCTCCACAGTCTGAGACCAATACTTGTTCAGTTCATTAAGATTTTGTCCTCTAACCCTGAATCTTTCTTAACCCCTTATCCTTACGTTGTTCATGCCCTGCTAATTCTCACTTTTGGGTCATTCCCAACATCTCCCTTATTGACTTCAGCAGAACACTGCTGGAAAAGTCACACAATGTAATTGGGACCATTATAAATTCATGTTATCTAACCTCAGCTGGGCTCGTGCCCATGCCTGGCATTCCTTTTGTTCTATCTCTGACCAACTGCTCTGCTTATCCTGCTCCCCAGGGCCTTAAATGCCTCCTGCTCTACTCATTTAGGATCAACACCATTCCAGGTTCCCTTTTAACTCTGCTTTTCCACCCCTTCACCCCATGTTTTCCTCCTTTGTTTTATGCTCAGATGATGAGATAGCCCTTCTTCTTGCCAAGGCTAATCCTTATACCTTTGTCCTCAATACTATCCCTAGATCAATCTCTTGCTATCAACTAATATATTAGGTTTCATCTCTCCTAAAAATAAACAAAAACTTCTTGTCCCGATTATCCACTCAAGCTTGTGAGCCTACACTATTACTTCTTACAGTTTTCTCACTTCTCAACCTCTTGCAATATGGCCTGAAACTCTGCTTTCTCAGAAGTCACTAGTGACCTCTTCATTGCTCTGGTAGCGTTTTTCTCAGCCCTAGTCCTTCCTGATCTTTACAAAAATATATGTTCTAGTCCACTGTTCCCTTAGCCTCTCCCTGTGGGCAGGCACTGTCTTCACAGATGTATTTGTATCCCTTGCGTATAACATAGTGTTAAATATAGAAAGCCTTGACCCTTTTCTATCTATTAATTCATTATAAAAGCATTATTATCACTTTAAAATTTCTATGTTGCAAATTAATTATGCAAAATTGGAAGGTTTTTTTTTAAGGTTTGGTAGTTTTTTTAAAAGCCTCATAAAGATCATATCCATTTAATGAAGCCTTTTTTTTTTAATATGGGGGACCTTTATATATTTGTAGTATGTGGCAATGAGTAATCTGTTTTCTTTTGCATAAGTAATTATTTTCATAATAAATATTTTTTTAGGGTGAAGAGTTGGAAATAAGCAAAGAAACCAAAGATAATCAATTAGAAGATGGTTATGTCAGAATAGGTAACATATACCTTTAATTAGTAAAAGCTCATTTTCTTATGTAAACCTTTTGAGTGCAAATATTGTCACACTTTTGTATTTTTATTCCCAACAAGCACATAGCAGGTATCTAAAAAATGTTTATTGATTATGTGGATTTATTCTTGAACTATAACTTACTTCCTTTGGGGCAATACTTTCATTATTAACTTAAAACAGAATAATTAGGATTCAGTCACTTAAAAAACCTATAGGGTTATGCTTATTTGTGAATGCTGTATTGGTTATCATTTTTATTGTTCGGGATTTTGCTTGCTAGAAAAAATTTCAGATGTAAAGTCAAAACTCTGGTATTAGCATTGGGTACTTAAGCAATTTATTTTAAAGGTTAGAGGCAAATTTATGTAAGTCTTAATTTTGTTGGCGTGATAATAAACCCATCCATTCAGTTAAATTTTCAGTTCTATTTGGTGTTTCAGTTCATCATAGTCTACTCACTGGTGATACTTTTTATTTTGAAGGAAAATTTGAAGGTGGTGTGGCAGAAGGGATGGTGAATCCCAGTCTAAACCCCATTTCAGCCTTCCGTCTTTCAGTCATACAGAATTCTGCAGTTTGGGCTGTTCTTAATGAGGTGAGATAGTTCTTCAAGTTAGTGAAATCAGTGGGAGTGCTGCATTTTTTAAAAAAAGATTTTGGGGCAGCTAGGTGGGGCAGTGGATAGAGCACTGGCCCTGAAGTCAGGTGGACCTGAGTTCAAATGCGGACTCAGATCAAACACTTAACACTGTGTGACCCTGGGCAGGTCACTTAACCCCAATTGCCTAAACATAAAAAAAAAATTAAAAAAAGATTTCAAACTCCTTTTACCTTAAGACTTTGGTATTGTACTTATTTAAAGAATTTAGAATTTGTTGCTTTTACAAATTAACTTAAAATTCTCTATTTCAGATTCATATTAAAAAGGTTCCAAACTGACCAAGTTCTCTTAGGAAGTCAAGATCATTTCAGACAAACGATCTCAAAGGGACTTTTCAGCTCTGAAATTGATTCCCTGTAAGATTGTTCTTTAAGAAAAAAAAATGTTAGAACAAATTCAAGACAATGAAGCATGTTTCTATTCTCTTTTGTATTTCACTTGAACACTACCTCTTGTGAAATCTGCTGTAGATAAGATTGTATTAAGCCTTTTTGTCAGATCAATTCAGAAAATTAATCTTCCATCCATAATATTCACATGAAGCCTAAATCCTTTATTTAAACATCATTTGTACATTTTACAGTCACATTGTGTTAGTATTGTCTTGTGTTATTTTGGTATTTTCCTAATACATAAGAGGTGTACATATTGTTACATTCCTTCAATATAAGAAGAATGTTAAATACATTTTATGAAGGGGGTACTTTTGGATTTCATTTATTTTACTATTGTAAACCCCCTTTTATAGATTATCAGGGATATATGTATAAATATAAATATACAGAAAACCATTAAGTTAATTTATTGAAATTATTTGAGGAGTAAATATTTTGGTGCATAACTTTGAATTACTTTTTAAAAACAGATTACACCTTGCTTTTTTAAGTTTTATGTATTTTTCTTTGAAAATGAAAACATTTCAAATGGTAATGTCTTTTCAAATGTACTGCCAGTATAAATAATTCCAGATGGATTTCCTAAATGAAGTACTTTTGTATCCTAAAGGATCTGAAATAGTGTATTTTCAAAGGCATCATCATTCCTTAAATCCCCTTGCTTTGAAAATCAGTTTCTTTGTGGGCTGTAACACTGTACTGTGTACAGGGTATGGCCATATACAAAACAGTTTGATAAATTTTGGCATACAGATGTGATTCATTAGAAATAACAGGCTTGATGTTTCCCTGTTATGCGTTGAAACAAATTGTATTTTCTTTTTGATCTTTGTAATCACTCAATATTCCTTTCATTAAATATTACCTAGATATATACATTCATGTTTTATAAGTTGGGACAAATTTTTTGGTAATGCTTGCATCAAATTTTTTTCTAGGAAATGTTATCATATTTGCAAACTTGAAGACAAATGATGTGACAGATTTTTAGTGAAAGGTACTGTTGCAGCCATACTGCATTTCTCCACTGATTTAATTTGCATTTTAAAGTTATAAACCTAGTGTCCAAGAAATACAATTGCATAATTGATTTACATGTAATTCCAAAATACTAGTGTAGGTTTTTGTTTTTTAATCAACTCCAGAAATTATCTTTGTAAAGCTTTTTCTTTTATTAAAGAAGCTAAAAGTCTAAGGATGATGCAAGATGCAAATATTTTGATTCATTTCGTGTTGGTTTTCTTGCTCATAATTTCTTGCCAAAAAATAATTTTTCTGATTTTATTTTTTTTAAAAGATGCTAATGTCCAAGTTCAGTTTAAAGTTTGCCTTTGAGTTTAGTTATTTCTGAGTCAGTTTGGTCAAAATTTCTAAAGCAGATAATTCAAAAAGGAAGAAAAAAATTTTAGCCGTTTCTGGGCATACATATGAGGAGTCTTCTTAATTGGCTGTTACAGCAGTTAATAGAATCATTCCAAGTGCCAAGAGCCCCTCAGATGCAGCCTCCATCAGCTGAATTATTATTTAAATAAACTGCTTTGGGACAAGATGGGGGAATTTAAACGAGAGTATTGAGAAACTGATATAGTTGATATTGCACCTTGCCATTTTAAAATTCATTCCAGTCAGTCTGGTGGTCTTACCCGTCCCCCTTCCTTCTCCCTGAAGTCCTTAGCAATCCCTTTTCTGAACTCCTATTAGTTATACTATGCCACAGACTTGTGTATTTATGTCAGAAGTTTTAAGCTCCTGCCATCATTTCAGACATGGTGAAATTTTCTCAACCAGAGTTTTAGCTCTTGGAGAGCATCTGTTTCTCTCTCATACACATTTTCTCTTTCATGAATCACTTTCTCTTCCTCTTCCTTTTCTGCTTCTGTCCTTCTTCTCCCACCTTCTCTCTGTAAGAGGTGGCATGAAGTAGTCACTTAACCCCTCAAGCTCTAGGCAGTGAAAGTGCAGATCTGCAGGCTTAGAGGGAGTTTTCTCATCTTGGGGCTCCCTGTACCAATGAAATCACTGGTCCCAGTCCCAAATCCTTACCCCTAATTTGTTTCTGCATACCCCACAAGGCCTAGCACAGTACTAGGCACAAAGGTGCTCAATAAATACTTGTTGGTTGGTTTGTTCATTGTTTCTCCTATTTCTAGTGCAGGTCAAACACCCTCACAAATTAAGGGCTCCAGCATGGCACAAAGATCCCTGTAAAAGAATTACAACTTAGTTCTTCAGATTGAGTTTAGGTTTTAAAGTGTAAAAGGCAGAACTGTGTTGTAATAAGAGATATCTTGAAGGGAAGATAAATGGATTTTCAAGAATAGATGAATGTAAGTTTATCATGACTCAAACCTACTTTTGTTTATGTTGAGTAATGGTATATTTAGTTTTATATTCAGAACAAGTGCTACTTTTCTGATGTATGCTTTCACATTAGTCAGAAAACATTTAGATACTTGAAGTGTGCTAACAAACATTTTAGTTGCATTGATAACTCAAGGTCAAAGCTCATGACCACATACATGTAGATACAACTTGTATCTGAGGATTATCCAGTGGTGAAAGCTATTAGAACATTATATTAAATGTATATTAAAATGAAAAAAGCTCCCCATAAAGTGTTGGAAAGAATTGGATTTTTCCATAAAGTAACAAAACTTTGAAGGTTGCCTTACAGGATTTAAAAATCTGTAGCTTTCAAAAAGAAAGCTGTTTTGATACCAACATCTACCATCAGATTACTAAAAAAGATTGGTCATTCAGAAACAGTAGTTTTAAGAAAAACCATTATAAAACTGAAACATAAAAGAGAAGCTGTCATGTTGGATATTCAGAGACACGTGAATATGTTAGCAATCATATCCCTAAAGCTTTACCCTGTACATTCTCTCCCACAAACATTGTATAGGCTAGGGAGATCAGTAACCAGAGGTTGCAGGTGAATTATTAGCACTTCCTAATTAAGTGCTGGAGCCACAGTATAGTTACAGGATCCCAGAATTTGTGTTAATTAAGAGTGACGGGTAAAAAAATACACTGTATCTTTCTTTCTGGAAAGGATACTATCTGATTAAGTTCTTAGAGGGTATAGTAATCATTAACTAATTAAGACTACTCTTGAATTTGAATAATTATTGTCTAAACCCATTTTGGAATTTTAAATTAGACAACCCATATTTGGAGTAAGTAAAAATTATTTGTTTTTCACTATGCAGTGTTCATACTATGTTGCAGGACTTGGAGGAAGAACTAATACTTGGTTACTTTATATTTGTCTTTATAATCCAGCATAAAAAAGGTTATACTAATTTCTGTATTTTTATATGTTGGAAACTGTTCAAAATGCCCATAATCAATTACTTCATATGTCTAATGATATTGTTATATCAGGTTTTTTTGTGCTTGTTTAATATTGCCATACCCTCTAGATTCATATAGTAAGACATATAGAAATAAAGGAAAGAAAATAAGAGAATCTAATAATGTGGCCAGAAATGCCATTCAAAAAGTCCACTCAATTTTCCTAAAAATGGTCTTGAAATGAATTTATTTGATAAATGCTACAATAAGCCAATGCTTTTTTGCTGTATTCATGCATGTGCCCACTAATGGCTATGAGAGAAGAATGCACTCATGCTCTTGAGAAGTAGGATTTTATTTGTCACATATATCAGTGATATTTTGGTCCATTTCAAAGGAAGGATGTCTTATATTAGATCACACTATGAGAAAGTTGTCTAGCTTCTTAATGCTTAGAGAATACATAGTTTTAAGAAAGGTAAATAAAAACATTTCAATGTAAAGTATTCCCAAAGTATTATGAACATTTTCTTGATAATGACTGTAAGCTCTGTAAAAGCAGAAAATGTTGTATATTTTTTAATCTTTTGATTCCAGGCCCTAGCATAGTGCTTCTTTCATAAGTTATTTAAATGGGGACTAACTGCTTTTTAAAAGTTTGTGTAAACAATATGGGTTCTTTCTGCAAAGAAATGTTTCTGATGTACTTGAGTATTACCACCTTCTAGTTATGCCCTTGTATTAGTAGCCAGTGCCAGAATGCTTTAGTTGTGTTGACATTACATTTTATTTTCCCTTAAAACTCAGTGTTTGCTAAGATTTGGTGAAAACACTTTTTGAGGAAATACTTTTTCTGAGCCTTAAAAATGGCCGATAGTGACAGTACTGTAAGATGCACTGCCAGCAAATAACTTTGGGCATATGACTTTTTTTAGATGGATATAAAATATTTGTTTAGACACAGTTGTTCATTTTTTTTTTGTTTAGTTTAGTTTTGTTTTTGGTAATTAAAAAAATTTAAATGTGGATCTTAACTTCAATTCTTCATTTGGAGAAAGAAGTTTTTCCTTTTTTAAGAGAAGATAACATTTGGAGAGATCTTCCCAATAGAATCTTTACCTGACAGATTCTGCAAGAGGCTTTTCTTCAAAAACTTGATCTATGTTTCCCTTAAATGTCCTCATTACTCAATTGTGCAGTATCTGCAGTAATTCTTTTGAGTATCTGTTGAATTTTTATAGGTAGTTGGATCTTTGTTTGAAATCTTGCTGCTATAAATTGAAAACCTTGTAATAGGTTATGTCGATTGTGCCTTTCATCACTGTTCTTTCTGTGCCACAGCTGTCCATGTGTATTTGAAATAAAGAATTTTTTAAAAATTCAAGCAGAATTCAAGGTTCATTCTAATAAAACATTGTAATATGAAACATAGATTACACAGCATTTTATGGTCACAAATCACATACATTAATCTCATTTGATTGCCACAACAAACAGAAGAGATGCAAAAAGTATTCTATCCCGGAGCAGTTAAGGGCAGATATGGAACGTAAGGTATCGAGCCTCGGCAAGAGGACTAGTCCAGAAGACTTTGGTTCTAGTCTTTATTCTTCTATTACCTTGACCCTGGGTGGGCATATCACAGTCACTCTGGGCCCACTTCCTCATCTATGGAATAGATCCCTCTCTATTTGTAGAACACTCTCAGTCACTCACATCACTATTTTAATGTAACACCCCATTTTCAGTTATAAAAACAGTTGTGGCTATAAATCAATACGTGCTACCATGCCATCTTTAGACTTTGGTGATGAGTAAATTTTTCAAAAAAATCCTTGTTATATTTAATGTGAGTATAATAACTGGTTAACATTTGTAAATGTTTATTCCATTCAGAAAACTGAATTCACAAGAGGACGAATGTATACTCTTAAACTAAAGTTAATGTACATATGCATCTTGGGTGGTGGGACTAACAATCAGAAAATAAGTCAAAAACATTTACAGTAATTTACATTCCTTTTGTTTCAGATTACGTGTTATTTTGTGTTTTTGTTAATATATTTTAATAGCTGCACATGTAAATGGAAACACAAATAAAATTTATACTAAAAACCATACTGACAGAGTTCCCAAAATTTAAACAGCTAAATTACATATTCCTTTTCATAGGAATAGTTCATAAGGCTTGGCTGGGAGTCCCAAGCTGGAAACAAACACATTTTTCCTATAGAAATGGTCATGTTTTAGTTTGGTCAGATGTTTCAGTCACAGAACAGGTCCACAAAAACCTAAATAGGTACACAAATATCTACCTACCAATTTACTTACTACTGTTTCTATGGGGAAATGTATTTCCCACTGAATACCCACAATGGAACTAAGATTAAAAAAAAAAAAGATTCATACTGCAGAATGGTCCTTTATTTTATCAAAAGCATTCACTGCAGGGTTCCTTTACACCTCACATGTATTTACCAAAATTATTTTTCTAATTATCTTTTCTGGATTCCATCCACATCATAAAGGGAGACATACATATAACATACCCTTACAAATCTGGATGTTTTGGGGGGGAGGGTGATGAAGATTCAGAACACTGCATTTATAATCAATTACATAATTTCTAAAACAGTGACAATCATTAATCTCATTTAGTGTCAAAGAATAAAACACGAAACCTTCCATAAGCACAGATTCTTAATTTTCTAGCAGTGCTTCCTCAGCATTAAGTTCTTTGATTTTACTCAGCCCTGTAAAGTACAGTGTGGGGAAACAGATGCTTCCTACTAGTTCAACGTTCTTAGGTAACACCAATCCTAGGTTTATCCACTTCCCTGTCAAAGCCTTTCAGAGATATGCCCTATCTGTTTGCTTTCACCACTGCCAAAACCCTGTTTTCCAACCAGGCTTCTCTGGGTACACAGACTCACACATTCTCCCCTACTTTGTTAATGAAACAAGCATACAATTCTCCAGATGGTTTTAAAGGATTTTCCTGCCAGTAAACAGATATAGGAAAACAGAGAAAGATTTTGAAATGGCAAGGAAAGTTATATAATTCTAAATCTTTACAACCTACTCAAATGTTAGCAGTAGGTCTCCTTAGTTCTTAGTACCCCATTTGCTGACCCATCTTTTTATCTTTAGGACTCAAAATTACAAGCAGGGATGTGCTTTACTGAACAGATTTTATTTCCTAAGGAAATTACTCAGGTAGGAGTAGCTGAGACAGTTGATGTTTTAAAAAAAAAAAAAAAAGTTTTTGCCCCAACTGTGTAGGGATTAGAAGCCAGGTTAGATTTAGGTTGTTAGCAATATTAGATGAATAGGTTCCTCAGTGTCCATCCAAATCTGCTATTTAGTTGTCTTTAGACTTTCGGGTACTAAATGAAATGGCAGGTTTGCTATACAATTTATCCATGCCTCCCCTTGCAGTGTGTCTCTGGTCCTCCATGCGTGAAGGCAGACTTCCCGTGGGCTTTAAACTGTTCTGCATTGACCTTGAAGGTCCCTTCTGCTTCTGACTTTTGACTAAATTCACACCTAGCAAGTCAAGACAATTTTTGATGTACATGAAATCTTACTTTTTCCATTTACTGTGCTGAAGTAATGGCTTTCGCTTAAAGGTTTCCAAAGTGCTTTAAACATATCTCATCCTCATTACACTCTATAAAGGTTTGATCATCTCCATTTTGCAGCTGATTAAACTGAGGTTAAGTGTCTTGCCCAAGGTCACAAAACTACCAAGGGTCTGAGGAAGGATGTGAAGGTAGGTTTTCCTGACTCCAAGCCTTGCACTCTTACCATTTTCTACCCTACTGCTCATATATGTTAAATGAATTTATGTTCTCTATAATCTCTAGTCCTATTGCCCCTGAAGCCTGTTTCCATTTCAATAGATTACACATGTTTTCTGTCTATTCCCATTTCAGAAATCATACTCCATCTGAATTTCCAGGTCATTCAATCCTGAACCAGATGACTTGATGATGGCCATTACTGGTGGAAGTTAATAGTTTTGCCCCTAAGCAGAATCAGATATAACATATAACATGTCAAATAAATACCTGGAGGGTTTTAGTAGGCTACTAAATAGAGATATGGAGCCCAAAATAGATAATGTAATCATAAAGTTCATTAATTGAATGTATAGCGTATAAAATGAGGTAGATGTAGCTAGGATTCTGGCTTTGGTTAGGGTTATACTAGATGACAGGTCCTTTTGACGTGATATGAAAATGGCCATCATGTCCCCCACTGAATTTTCTCTGTTCCAGGTTAAACACCATAGGTTCCCTTCAATTCTCACAAAGCAGTCTCCACTCCTTCCAACATGCACTATAGCATATAAAAGTCCTTTCTAAAATGTAGCATCCGGATCTATCCTCAATAAGTGATCTGACAGCAAGAATCACAGATTTAGAACTAGAAGACACGAACAAGGCCACAAATCCAATCCCTATTTTAATTGTTAATCCCATCCACACTTCTCTCCAAATTCCAGACAGTACATATCTATTTAATAAAAGGGGCTAAAAATGCATTAGTTGTTTTGGCTGCCAAAGAAGAGTTAACTCCTATCGAGCATGCAGTTCACCAAAATCTCCAGTCTTTTTCACAGGAGTCACTGTCTAGCCACATCTTCATCCTAGAATTGATTTTTAAAGACTCAAGTGTTGGATTTGTTAACATTCAAGTCAACCAAACAGTTAACTAGCCATTTGCAAGGCACAGTGCTAAGTACTAGGGATATAAATAAAAACCAATTCATCCATTCCCTCCAAGAGGTTAATCCTAACAATAGGAAATGAAGAGGTCAAAAGAGAAGTCAGCCACAAAGCTCTAAGCAAATTGGGGGTGAGAGAGAAGTAAAATGTGGGGGTACTAGGCCCGACCTCAGGAGGGGGTACCTGAACTGCTCCTTGAGATGAGGAAGGAGGAACAACCTATACTAATATACATTGGTAGGAAATTATATGCTAAATTGGAGAACAGTGAGTAATCCCCTTTGGCTGGTTCATATAAGTACATGAAGGGCAAGTAGTGTGGAACAGGACTGGGGAGCTAGACTGAAGCAAGATTCTGGTAGGCTTTAAACTCCAGACTAAGGAGTTTGCATTTTACTCTAGAGATGATAAGAGTACCACTAAAAGTTTTTGAGCAGGGAAGGGACATGATCAGTTCTGTGCCTTAGAAATCTGTGTAGGTCAAAATAAATTAGAGAGAATGGTGGCAGGAAGACCAATTAAGACCTTGTAACAATAGTCCAAGCAAGAGGTAGGAGGGAATGTGAATTTGGGTAACAGCTGCTTTGTAGAAAAAAAAAACCAAAAAACACGCGATGTTTTTGGAACCCAGTTCTGTCTTCCAACACATTGGCTGTGCCTCCTAGCTGTGTTGCTTGTATATTTGATATGTATGCCATCAAATGTTCTTTCCTTCCTTAAATTTTCCAAGATTACTTTGTTAGAATCCATCCTTTGCTCTTAGCTCCAACTGCTTTGTATATTTCTGAATTCCTTTAGAATGAGGACTATGAAAGCGTGGAAAACCTTGTTTTTAAATCCCTCCTCAGACCCTGACTCTATAGCCAAGGGCAAGTCACTTGACCTTGCTGAGCCTGTTTTCCTCATCTGTAAATTGAAGAGTCTGTTAGACTCCATAGTCTTGAAAGGTCCCTTTCAACTCTTAAATATATGACCCTTCTTGTATTCCTAGTCTCTATCCTACCTTGCAAATAGTAGACACTTGATCTTTATTGAAAACACTGATAAAAATACTGAACACACAAATCCCTATGACTTTCTACTAGAGGCCTCCATCCAGGTTGACAATGAATTCATTACAATTTGACTACTATTTGGGTCAGTTTTTCCAATTAAGCTCTGAATTGTGTCCTGCTAGCGTACAATTACCAGCTATTGCCCACATCTCTCCATCTTGTCCACAAGTATACTGTCTATGTGGGACTGTGTTAAGAAAAAAAAATGGCTAAAATCCAGATATTACAACACTATTTCTTACTCTGACCTATCAGTCTAGTAATACTGGCAAAAGAGTCTAGCACGATATGCAGTTAATGAAATAATGCCGCCTCATAATGATTACCCCCTTCTGTAATGTGCTTACTAACCATTCTCTGACAGTAAGTTATCTGAGAATTTTACCAGGAATCAAATTCATGTTCACCACCAAATACTTTGAAGAATCTACTGTCATTCCCCTTTTGAAAATCAAGACATTTACCTGTCCTTATTTCCCATGTACGTTTCCTATTCTTCACGATTCCTCAAAGAAGTTCAACCCTCTTATTTTACAGAAGAGAAAGCTGAGGCACAGAGGTTAAATAACTTGCCCAAGGTCACATGGTAAGTAGCAGAGCTTGGAAAAGGCTTCTTGACTTTAAAAAAGTTGATTACCTTGCAATTAACCACCTTACTAGACAGAAAAAAGAATAATGAATTATTGCTATGACCATCAATACTTTTAAAATTTAAACATTCTAAAGTGTTCAGGGTAGGTGTTTTCCCCGAGTATACAAAAGAATGATCTGAAATACCACCCAAACTACCAGCGCTAGAAGGACAAACTAAACCATTTCAAAGATGTTGGTTAAGTATTACTGGGCTTAGCTGCATTCGTTAGAAAGCACCAACTCCTAATGAAATAATATTTGGCTTCTATTGATAATGACATTTACGCGCCTGTTTTAATGCGTTGTGGCTGGTAACTGGGTTCTGGAAGGCCAGGCCAGCAGAATACAAGTTCTGGCAAGTCTTAACCTGCCTTTCTTAAGCTAAAAAGACTTGAAGTAAACAAGTAATAATATTATGTTTCTCATGGGCTGGTCTAGATTGCTACATTATGAGGCTCAAAACCAAGGGTTAAGCCACTAGGTTATTAAAAGATTTTGATCTCAGTGCCTATTAAGGCAGAGTTGTGCGCTCTGTGATAGAGACCATCAATAAAATCAAGGATCCTTGAAATTCTGAAGTATGGAGATTACTGATAAGCAAGGGTAAAAATCAAAATGCTTCCAAAAAAAAACCTTAAAACTACTGCTTAGTCAAAACTGAAAAGGCTTACACTTTGGTTTAAAAATATTTATTACACAAATGTACATTTCATGGTTTTGAAGAATGTACTATGAGTGAAATCAACATGAAGTTGTAAATATTACCAAAAATTCACAAAAATTTTACATTTTTAAAGATATCTACAATTACAATTTATTTACACTTTTTACAAGAAAACTCAGCCACTTTAACAATACTGTTGACAGCTAGCAGTCACATTTTTATTTCACTCTATACTTGTAGAAAGAGCACAGTGTGTGAGTGAAGTTCCATCCCAGTGCTAACGACAATCCGTACAGTAGAATGAGAGGTGCAAAGGGATACAAAAGAATTACCGTGTTTTTCAAAAACGGCAGTGCTGGAAAGCAAGGAAACAAATCCAGATGAATAAAAAAGTAAATAAAATACTAATTTCTAATTACAAATCTTGAAATCTAGTTTGGGTTGTGCAAAAATAATCGGTATTTTGCTAGCAACCATGTGAAAAAAAGGTTCCAAATCATGAATAAGAAAAATGCAAATTAGAAATACTCAGAGTTTCTGTCTTACGCTCCTTTGTTCCAGAAATACCACTACTAATAATATATCACAAAGAAATCTAAGAAAGGAAAGGCCTCATATGTACAAAAATAGCAGTATTTTAGTAGTAGTAAAGAATTAGAAACAAAGTGGGTACCCTATAATCAGGGAATGGCTGCATATATTATGGCAAATTAAAGACTCAAGAACTCTGTCGAATGCAGTGATCAGTCACAATTCCAGAAGATTAAAAAAGCATGCTTCTTCAAGCAAGGTGAATAACTACAGGATGTACCTGATATACATTTTCAGGCATGACCAATGTGTATTCACAAGTTTTGCTGAACTATACCTGAAATTTCAAGGGAAGGCTTTTATTCTGAGGGAGAAAGTTAGTGGGAGATGTATGGTGGGGGTAGAAACAGTGATTCAAAAATAGAGAGTATCAATATTTAAAAATACCAGAAAATATTATAGAAGGGGGCAAATAAATACAAGGGGAAGGGGAAGAGAAGAGGGTGTATCAGCACTACCTACTAAATTTCATACTTGTATATAAAAAGTTTCCTGGCTTGACAATGACCTCCCCACCGCCAGCTCCACCTCTGACAGAGGGAATCCCAAGTCTCCGTCCCGTTCCCAGCTCCCCTGTGGTGGTGAGTGAGTACCCTCCAGGGTCCTTGCCATGCACCATATATAAGTACTCCTGGGCTGGCCATCAGATCTGCCTTTGAATCCTTAGAACTTCTAGACGTTTCTGCCCATCCTGCAGCCCACGTCCTCCTCCTATGAGTTATCGCTTCCAATTACACAAGAACTCCTTGAGTTCAGGGACTATCTTTTTCTATTTGTTTCCTTAGCATTTAGCACAGTGTTTATCTTGATCCATAAAGCAAGGACTGCCCTAATGTATACCTTGAAACTCAAATTTGTCTGTCGCTACAGTTCTGACAGCAATTAAAGAGTACTCAGACTAGCTAAGAGGAAGTTAGAGGAAAGAAAAAAAAGAGATTATTTCAGAACAGTTACCGAACATAAAACATGCCAAGCCAGTTGAGAATTTACAAAAACATAATGCTTTATAAGTAAATATCCTCCAAGTACCAAAAAATGGAGATGTTTGAAAAAGCAACTGTGGTTAGTAAAATAAGGCAGAGACACTTGCACCAAACTTGAGGTAAAAATTAGAACACTAAATAATACAAATTCTAACAATACCTATAAAGCCTAGGTACAGAAGGGCCATTTTTAAAGACAAAGCATATGTTAAGGCCCCAAATCTAGCATTATTTGCAGTGGGGAAACATTAGAAGCTTTACCCATAAATCCAGGATTGAAGTAAGGATGCTCCTCCTTTCTACCACTGTTAGTTGACAAAGTTCTAAAAATGCTACTGATGGGGCAGCTCGGTGGCGCAGTGGACAGAGCACTGGCCCTGAATTCAGGAGGACCTGAGTTCAAATCCAGCCTCAGACCAACCACTTGACACGTACTAGCTGTGTGACCCTGAGCAAGTCACTTAACCCCACTGCCTAGCCAAAAAAAAAATAAAAATAAAAATAAAAATGCTACTGAGACCACTAAAGGCATAAAGAACCAAAATTATTCCTATTTTCTGACATGATGGTTTACCTAGAAAACCCCAAAGAATCAGCAAAGAAACTAATTCAGACAATTAATAGCTTAGCTCAAGTAGCTAGATATATAATAGTTTCCAAACAAATTCTAGCTATTTTTCTCTTGGTGTTTTTAATATATAAAGTTTACAGTTTTTGAAGAAAAGCAACACCCCCCCCCCAAAAAAAACCAACCTCTACCTCTCAGGGCTTTAGCAAACAAAAATTCCAAACACACACAGAGGATATTGGTACAATGGCTAGTAATTTTATCTCCCAAAACAGCCCTCTGCATAAAAATACCATTTGGTTTTAGGGTTTCTCTCTCTCTTTTTTTTGTTTCCCAAGATGAACTTATAGTAAGGGACTTAGGGTCCTAAGGGAATCTTTATTATATGCTAAATAGACATCTGTTGAATTAAGAAATACAGAATTTAGTGAATTCCAAGCAGCTGAATATATGTGTGGCTTCAGCTAGATACAGCATCTGGCTGAAGAGCTGGGTGAGAAAAAGGCCATAAAGCTATTGCAAGTAATCTGTAAAACTGAATGTTGGAAGACAATAAATAAATTATATAATTTGTTTCCTTGCTTTCTAACATTAGATATTTTTAATAAATTTCAATTCTTGGTTATACTTACCACTGTATCCTAGGAATGTTACATAGATATAATAACCAACTGCAATCAACCATAATGTATTTCCGACAAAGTAGCCAATAAATGTATCTGTCATGATAACATCTGTAAGAAAAGAAAAAAAAACTTTACTATTATGTACAATGAAGATGACGATGCCATTTTGAAACTGATGTGCTACTTACAGTTAATGAAAAAAAGCTGGATAAAATGCAGAATGACTAGTAGTGGATAGAAAGCGTTCAAATGGACGTCAAAGGCATATCCCCATTCTACATCATAGTCCCTGCTCTGTCGCTTCACTAAGTACTTGTTAGAGATAAACCTAATGGAAAATAAATTCAAAAGAACATAATGAGACAAGATGAAAATATGAAATGATTTCATAAAGTTAACAAGTGATAAAAATATTCACATATCATAGTAACCACAGTATCCTAACTATAGCAACTATATAATAATATAGTAATATTACTATAGTAACATTCATTACTCAAACATTTATTAAACGTGTAGAATAAAAACTAAATTTGGGTTACAAATTCAATTTTATACATTTATATCAACTGTACAATAATGACAGTTGTTAACATATTAACATATTCAAAGAAATCCCTCCGCCAAAACACTTTTCAGTTTTATTATGAAAATGTGAGTTTATTCCCTGTTTCAATCAAAATTTCAAAAGAACGAATAGAAGAAACTGGAAGACATACAGAAAGACAATGGCCTTGCTATCACTGACTCAGTATTCTAAAAATGAAAGTAATGTAATGACAGCACTTTAAGGCACTTTAATAACTGACTCATTTACAGAGGCAGTTTGTTCCAATTCCCCCCCCCCAGGAACATTTTTTTCTTCATTCATAACCTAAATACACTTAGCATATTATTGTATAACAAGATTGTTGACTCAACAATCACTTATTAAATACCCTTTATATTAAGTAAGGCTCTGCCAGGTACTGAGGATACAAAGACAAAATAGTATCTATTTCCACATGTAAAGAAGATAATTTGAAGATGGAGATAGCACTAGCAACTGGAGGAAGCAATATGATCATTCTGTGTCTTCATAAAATACTGTAGTAGCTAGCTATGTGATGATGGAAAATGGGAAAGACTTAAAAACTACCAATTAGTAGGGTCCTAAAATAATCTAGATGAGAGGTGATAAGGTCCTGAAGATAGGTTTTGTCCAGCAGATATAAAGGTGGTAATGGAAAGAAAAGCTGTGAAAATAAACATCACAGAGATTAGCAATTCATTAACTATAGAGAGTAAAGTCAGTAACCAAACATGAAAAGCAGATCATATATTTTTCACAGTTTATAGAGGATAAGTTCTTAACTAAGGAATAAAGACAACTGCAAAAAATAAAAGATGATTTTGATTAGATTAATTTGAAAACTTTTTTTTACACAAATAAAATAATATGCTTAGGATAAGAAGGGAAATAGTAGAATGGGAGTGGGGAAATCTTATATTTCCAATAAAGAAGGGTTTGGTATCCAAGATGCAAAGACAATCAACAGAAATATAAAAGACCAAAAATCACTTAAAAGACAAGTGGTCCAAGGATATGAAAACAGTTCTCAAAAGAAGTGAAAACTATTAGCTACTATATGAAAGAATGCTACAAATCACAAATAGTAAAAGAAATGCAAATCAAAACCACCCTGAGGGCAAAAATGAGGAGTGTAGGAATAAGTCATATTGGAGGGATTGTTGGTGCAGTTGTGAACTGATACAATCATACTCAAAAGCAATCAGTAATCATGCAAATGAAGTGTCTAAAATGCCCACTCCTTTGACTCAAGAGTTGCCACTGTTAGGCTAATACCACAAGAATGTGAGAATGACAAAAAGACAGGCACTATGTACACCAAAATATTTATAGTAACACCTTTTGTGGTAGTAAAGAACTGGACTTGAAGTAAATGCCCATTGGGAAATGTCTCAATTGTGGTACATGAATATAACAGAATATTATTGCACTGTAATGAACGTGATGAATACAAAGAATAGAAAGATATATGAAAAGATGCAAAGTTAAGTAAGTAGGACAAGAAAAACATTTCCATTGCTGTAGAAAGGACAACAAAATAAATGAAACTCAATGCTGTGAAATTACAATATAGCAGCTTGGCCCCAAGAAAGTATACAAGATGACATCTCCCTAGATAAAGCAACAGCAAAAATAAACTTAATTAACAAGAAAAAAGAGGGAAACTATTTTCCTGAAGGTAACATTGCCAATGAATTAATTTCAATACTTAACATATAATTTCCAAATGGCATAGATTCTAACTACATGAAGGAAAAGCTAAATGAACTACAAGGAGAAATAATAAAACTATAACAATGAGGGACCTCCATTTACCACTATCAGCTCTAGATAAATCTAATTAATAAAAAAACAAGAAAGACATTAAGGACCTGAATAAAATTTTACAAGAATCAGACATGATATACACCTGACAATTACTGAATGAAAACGGAAAGGAGTACGTATTTCTAAGGTGTACAGCACCTTTACAAAAATTCTGTGTTCAGAAAGAAATCTCAAAAACAAATGCAGACAGTATTTTCATTTTGGGTTTTTTTTGTGTGTTTTTTTTTCTTTTGTTCTATTTCTTCTTTCACAACATGACTAATGTGGAAATATATTTAACATGATTGCACATGAATAACCTATATCAGATTGCTTGCCCTCTTGGTAAGAAGGTAGGGAGAAAAATGTGGAACTCAAAAGTCCTATAAAAAATGAATGTTGAATGACTAATGTGAAAATGTTAAATATGAATGTATAGGTAGAGCCTAAATCAGATTACATGCCATCTTGGGGAGGGGGGAGAGGAAGAAAATTTAGGACTCAAAATCTTATGGCAATGTATGTTGAAAACTAAAAATAAATTAAGAAACTTTTAGAGTATCCCCCATACATACATATATGTATATAGGTATATACATGCACATACACAGACATTTGAGTCATATAAGTATACTATTAATGATATACATTATAAAACTTATTTGAAAATACAAATTTGAAAAGGTTAAAAAAAATGTTGAAAATAAACAAAAAAAAAAGGTGGGGAACAAAGCAGATGGAAGACATTAGCATTAAGGGGAAATCTGCTTTTAGTAGAAGATAGAATTTTGGGTCAGACCTAAAGGAAACAATCTCATTGGCTTCCACAATCTCCACACTGGCTGCCTAGTCCCCCAAGGAACATAATAACCACCTCATATCCTCCTCATTCCAGGGATCCTGAACTCTCTAAGTCACTGTACAAATCCCATTCCCCACTGCCTACTTCCTTACTCCCATCCTCCTCAACCCAACACTCTTTCAGCCCCCCAAAATCCCACTCTAATTTGTCCCTTCTCCACTGTGCTTCTTTAAAATGTCTGTTCCACAGATAACAAACTTGCTTTCATCTTAAGCTTTTTCCTTTCTCACATCATCCTTTTGCACTTCCTGAGACCTGGGTCCTGAGAGCTAATAGAGAATATTACAAAAACTCGAGGAGAAAAGAATATTCAAGAGGACGTGGAGGACAATAGTTTCAAAAGCTGCAAAAAGGAAAAGGAGGAGTACTTGGAAAAAGTCCAAATTGAGATCTTTCATAATATTGGAGAAAGCGGTTTCAGGAGTCAAACTCAAGAATGGGAAGCAGAGGCAGCAAGAAATGATCCTTTTTAGAAAGATGGCCAACGAAAGGCAGAATTTAAGTTCCTTGAGGCAAGGAACTGTTTATTGTTTTTCTTTGTACCTCTAACCAAGACAATGCTTGGTTCATGAAAGCCTTTATCAAATTAACATGGAACTGAAGGGAAAGATGTAAGATAGTTTGAGGGCATAGCAGGGATGTGGTTTATTTTTACTAATGTTCCTTTTTTTAAAATATCTGTCACTTCTTGATACACTCCCCCAGTTCCACCGAATTCTCCCACTTAATAGAGAAAATCAATTAAGCAAAACTAATAAAAAGGGGCAGCTAGGTGGCACAGTGGATAGAGCTCTGGCCTTCGAGTCAGGAGGATCTGAGTTCAAATCCGGCCTCAGACACATAATACTTACATTGCCCAACAAAAACCAAAAAAAAAGAAAAGAAAAGGAAAAGAAAAAAAAAAAAATCAATAAAAAAATTTATTTAAAAAAAAAACTAATAAAGAAACCATTTTGGGGGGGGGTGAGGCAACTGGGGTTAAGTGACTTGCCCAGGGTCACACAGCTTGAAAGTGTCATGTGTCTGAGGTCACATTTGAACTCAGGTCCTCCTGACTCCAAGGCCAGATCTCTATCCACTGCGTCACCTAGCTGCCCCAAGAAACCATTTCAAACAACATATCCAACAAAATTTCAGTTTTCATACCTCACACCTCTTTTCTGCTGGAATAGGAATGTTTTAATCTGTTCTCTGGGACCAAGGTTGTTTACTGAAACTAACCTGAGATTACCAGCCTCTTAGTGTTGTTTTCATGTCCAATATTGTTATAATTTTGTACCTTGATTCCCCTAAGTCCTCTTTTCACTCTAGGCAGCTAGGTGGTACATTAGACAGAGCACTGGGCCTGATGTCAGAAAGAACCAAGTTCAACCCTTCTTAGCTCTGTGTGATCCTGGGCATCTCACTTAACTTCTGTTTGATTCAGTTTCCTCAACTGTAAAAACAGCACCCACCTTACAGGTTATTTTGAAGATAAAACAGTATTTGCAAGGTGCTTAGCATAGTACCTGGTACCCAGCAGACACTTAAAGTTTGTTCCCTTCCTTCTAAGTAACTTTCCATGTTTTCCCTTGTTTCTCTATGTCTTCATATTTACCACTTCAAAAGGCAAAATAATATTCAATCACATTTTAAATACTACATTTCCCAAACAATGCTTTGTTTCCTTCTTTTATTTTGGGGGGGGGGGCTACTTACAAAGAATGTTGCTATGAACATTTTATTACATGTGAAATCTTTGTCTTTGACTTCATAAATGAAAAAGCATTTATTGAGGGCTTACTAAGTGCCTGAATAATTCCTAATTGTTTTCCAATTCACACTCTACCAACAGTATAACTAGATGTCTCCCCATAGGATCCTTCAATATTTACTATTTCCATCTTTTATCATTTTTGCCAATTTGATTTTTTTTTTACCAGTCAAGCTTTTCCTATTCTAACCACTGATTCCATTAATATAAAAGCTTTTAAAGTTTTCTGACTGATATTGCTTACTTTATCTTTTATGATTACCTCTTTAAAAATTACATGCTACTGCCTTTCATTCTCCTTTATTTAAATATTACCTTTTATATTTAGATCATATA